AGTAGTTTATTAGATAAGTATTAAATTCTATTAAACACCAAGAATTTAATCTGCATCATTTTGGTAACAGTTGTCAAATCTGGCTTATAAGATTTTTATGTGGGGGCTGGGAAGGTGGCCCAGTGGTAGAGCGCTTGCCTTGCATGCATGAGGCCCTGGGTTCGACTCCTCAGCACCACATAAGCAAAAAGAAAAAAGCCGTTAGTGGCCCTGTGGCTCAAGTGGTAGAGCGCTAGCCTTGAGCTGAAGAGCTGAGGAACAGCATCCAGGCCCAGAGTTCAGGCCCCACAACCGGACCCCCCAAAAAAAAAGATTTTTATGTGAAATGTTTGAAAGTTTGCAAGAAAAAATTAAATTTATAATAAGGATAGTATATACTATAAGTATTATCTTTTTCAAATTTAGGGCTTGGGCAGTCTATGTGCATTAGATTGTCAAATAGAACAACTAGATCTTCATCCTTTTATTTGTTTGTTATTAAACACATTGCTTCCACTTTTTTTAATCTTTTCTGAGGAATACAAAATAATGCAGGATTATGTAACTCTGTGGAATAAAGCTTTGTTACAGTCAAGAGGGGGTAGAGTAGGAGGGGTGGAGGTATTTCTCAAAGGGTACAAAATTTGAGTTAGAAGAAAAATGAGTAGAGCATGGTGCTACCTGCTTGCAATCCTAGATGCTCTGGAGGTGGAGACAAGAGGCTAGTACTAGTCAAAGGTATTGGTGAGGTCCTGTCTCAAAAACCAGAGGGTTATTTGAATTAGGAAGGGAAGGGGGACAACAGAATGATGAAACAAAGGACAAGGGGAGAACCAATGCCACAGCGACATATACAAGACAATATGTTGGACATGATCTGTACAATGTGGGGAGGCGTGGAGGGGAGGTAAAGTAGGAGAAAAGTGAGGGGAGGGGTAACAAGCTTGACAAGAAATGTACTTATTACCTTACCTATGTCACTGTAACCCCGCTGTGCATCACCTTGACAATAAAAAAAAAAAGACAAAAAAAGAACCAAAAGGCTAAATCCTAGTTACTGTTAAAAAAAAAAGTTTGGGGAACCTAATGTACAGAAGGTGTCAAAAGACAATACTATATTGTATATTTAATAATTGAAATTTGCTGAGAGAGTAGACTTTAAGTGTACTTTACACACAGAGAATAATAACAAAGTGAGGGTATGGAACTGGTAATTAACTTGATTGTGGTGAGCATTTCACAGTATATACTCTATGCAAATGATTATGTTGTACATCTTAAATATATACAATTTTATTTGTCAGTTATAAAGCTGGGGGTGAAAATAAATACTACTACCTATATCATAATCCTAAAGAACTTTTGCTGTTGTAGAAAAATGAATGGCAGGAAAATCCCGAAAAGGAAAAGAAATTGCAGGATGAGACATTGCAGATTTGGTGACCAAGTACTTAAAGGATGTGAGCTTCTTCCACATTTTACCATGTTTTCTTGGAGACCCATGTCTCCAACATGGTAGGTCACATCTTGACTGTAGAGCAGTTGAAGGCCAACTCTGGGGACAGGAGATAGGCGGTGGGCAAGAAGTAAATGGACATGGGAAAGAAAAGTGTATATTCCCCAGTTCTCAAGCTGCACTGTAGTCAGGTTCCCAAGTCACAACTCCTATTATTAAATGTTTATCACATTTATGATTTTTAGCAATTACCTTATGATGTCAACCTATTTTTTATTTGCTTTTAGTTTGTAAGGCAAATCTCAGCTGGGAGCCAGTGGCTTACACCTGTAATCCTAGCTACTCAGGAGTCTGAGATATGAGGATCGCAGTTCAAAGTCAGCCCAGGCAAGAATGTCCATGAGACTCTTATCTCCAGTTAACCACCAGAAAACTGAAACTGGTACTGTGGCTCAAGTGGTAGAGTGCTTGCCTTGAGCTAAAGAGTTGAGGGACAATGCCCAGGCCCAGAGTTCAAGCCCCACAACACACACACACACACACACACACACAACACACACACACACACACACGTGATGTGCATAGAGGTTACAGTCATGTAAGTCAGGTTATGAGTACATTTCTTTTTGTATAATGTCACCCCTTCCTTTGCTCTTTCCTAGTTTTTCCCTCCTGTCCCAACCCACAAGTTGTATACAAAGTTCATTTTCAATATACTATCTAGGTTTATGTATTTTTTAAATCTCTATTTAGAAGATGATTGCCAGCCTGGCACTGGAGGCTGAGATCTGAGGATTACAGTTTGAAGCCAGTCCAAGCAGGAAAGTCCATGAGACTCTGATCTCCAATTAGCCATCAAAAAGCCAGAAGTGGAGCTGTGGCTCAAGCAGTAAAGTGCTAGCCTGAGCACAAAAGCTCAGGGACAGCACCCACATCCCTGAGTTCAAGTCCCAAGAATAGTGTGTATGCGCACATGCATACACACACACACACACACACACACACACACACACGCACAAAAATAAAAATTAAAAAAAAAGATGTTTGCCATTCTCTTAAATTGCAAGCTATCAGTATGACCTTTATCTGTCTGTCAATATCTAGCATTGATAAGGTTTTGCTGTATCTTAAAATATGAAACAAGTAATGGAGTGATAAGCCAAGGACTTGGAATATAAGACTGATGTGTATAGTCAAGATTGTACTTCCTCCCAAGGTAGTTTCTAAGCAATGTACAGTTTAAGATGACTCAAGATGATCACAGCCACTGCTTCTTGCTTGGGGCACAGCCATCTTTTGGAGCCACTTGTCATATATAAAACCCTTCATTCTCCTTCTTCTCTTGTTAGCATTCAGCTGTTGGGGTTTTTTTTTTCCCCCTTGATGAATGCACAACCATTTAGTTATGAATCTGTTGTTTCCCGGGAAGAGTGGTGCTCTGTCTCCACACAATGTCCTTGCCTATTTCCCCTTTCTTCTCTCCTCATGGTACCAGTCCTTTCCCATCAGCAGGCTACCCTGGCCTGAAAGCTTCCAGGGTACTCGGAAGTGAGAAGTCATCTCCTTCCTTAGAGGGCACATGCTACAAGAGAACAGAATGAGGATTAAGGATCGACCACTTACAGTCATCCTGGACCCCCCAGGGTCACCTAAGCCCACAGATACTCAAATCCCTATAAAAATTGTCCGTTTGCAGTAACCTACTCACATCCTCCTTGGCCTTCTACAGCATGTCTAGAATTCTCATAGTACCTAATACAATGTAAATATTATATTAATAATCCGTCTGTATTGGCTAGGGAAAAAGTCTGTACATGCTCAATACAGACACAATTTTTCCCCAAATATTTCTGATCAGGGAGTTGGCTAAATCTGTGATGTGGAACCTGCCGATACATAGGTCGATAGGACTAGCTTCAACTAGTTTTTACACTTGCGTCTCTGAATCATCTCTTCTGTAGAATTGGCATAAGAACAGGGTTATCATGAGATTAGATCAGTCACATATGCAAAGGTCCTTAGAATAATACGTGACACCAAAAAAGATCAGTAAGTGTGAGCAACCATCCACAACAAAGAATTATATCCAGTCTAAAAGGTCAACAGGACCAAGGTTGAGAAAGCCCCACACTAGAGCAATGACAGGCTACTTTTGTCGATGTGATTGAGCAAGGAGGATGGTGACAGTAGCAACTGGGATGTCAGGTCCCTGGCAGTGACAGGATTTTCTAGACTGAAACTAGCACTCCACTGTCTGGACTTTGAAAAGCTTTAAAGAGGTGCTTGCAGCAGGGTGCATTGGTGCACACTTGTGATCTTACCACCTTCATGGGAGGTAGAGATTGGTGGATCACAGTTCATGTCAGCCTGGACAAAACATTAGTGAGACTCACAAAAACAAACCTATGATTGTGACTCAAGCTTGTAATTTCAGCTACCTGAGAGGTGGAGGTAGGTAGATCTCATAGCACGACTATTTGAAAAACAAACTAAAAACAAAAGAAGTAGATCCATGGCTTAAGAACACTTGTCTGGCAGGTCTAAGGTTCTGAATTTAATCTTTAGTTCTATCACAAACTAAAATAAAATAAGATTTGTTGAGGAATCTAGTAATTGTTTGAGCCTTATCTATCTTAGAAATCCTGATTGCCCATTTAATCTCTACCGGGCTATTCAAGCTAATCATAGAGACTTGAAAGATTTTTATCTTTTTTTTCTCCAAAAACAATTATATATTTTATTTTTCAAGTTAGGCCCATAGCTTATCCAAACTCATTAGTTTAATTGGCTTTAATCTACATTCTGGCTCCTATGCAAGAAGGGCCAGGAAAGCCCTTTTAACGATAAACCTAGGGCAAAATTGTGGCAGATATTGAATTCAAAGGTCACTGTGAAGTTTATCATTGACTGAAAAAAACAGGTAGTTTCTGAGACTTTGGATGTAATGAATGCAGAAGTAATTTCTAAAGCTTCAGCATTTGTATTCTTTGGTTCTTTCTCCCCTGTTAGAAGACCAATAGAATTTTCCAAAGTAGCTAAAACAAGTCTGTCCCAGGTTTCTGAACAAAGCACATCAACTTCACTTCATGTGGCCTCAGTGACCCTGTGTCTGTCTTCAGCTGCAAAGGGAAAGAACAGAGGTCTCTGCCTGACTGATTCTCAATGGCTGCCTTTCCCTTTTGCAGATTTTTCCTCTGGTAAGGGAACAGAATCAGCCACAACCTCGAGGGCTTTACGCGTCATTGTTAATGAATCAGAAAACCAAAAGGCAGAAGAGTCTGGAGACATGCTACTTGGTTGCTTTTGGGAAACCAAATTTATTTTTAGTGTGTTTCATGCTCGTAGTTTTGGGGGCTGGGCCTGAGTGAGTCCCTGAGATTAGGGCGTTTAGCATGCATTTCTTCAGCAGGCGAGGCCTCCCCTGCTGCTGCCCAGACCCCTTTGAGCTTCACTGGCTCTATTGAACAGAGCCATTCTCAGCTTTTACGTTGGTTCAGTGAGCAGGGTTACTGTTTAAACTTGGTGACTGCAGAGTTGTAGGTCTCATTGCCCTTTTGCGTTCCTCCCAAGTGTACCTCAGCTGTGAGATAATTGTAGTGTGATTAACTGGGCTTCTCAGATCCTTTGGTCTTTCCTGGCTGATGGACTCAAAGCAAGAAGAGAGAGACATGCAGATATGTGGCAGCGTATTCAAGAAAGAAGGGTTTATGGATTGGAGACGCTAAGATGGACTGTAAGTTCTTTGGCCCAACATGTCCTTTGAAAACTGTAGTAAGGATCTCTAGGAACCACATGATCTTTAAGCCTGTTCCGACAATTAACACAACAGGTGTTAAGTACAGAGTAGGAAATCTTTTAATCTTTTTAAAAAACTATTTTAAAAATAAACTTTATGGCTTTTACTATTCTTCCAAAGAAAAGAGTAGAAATTTTAAAGGATCTTTTCTTTTCTTTTTGTCAGTTGTGGGGCTTGAACTCTGGGCCTGGGTGCTGTCCCTGCACTCTTCAGCTCAAGGCAAATGCTCTACCTCTTGAGCCACAGTGCCACTCCCTTAAAGGATCCTTTCAAGTTAGGGATTTATTTATCTGTCATGGTGATCAGAAGCCATGCAATAGCTTTTGTGAAAGCTAAAGGCAAAGATGATCAATCTCCATTTTCCATGTTTCTGGGTTTTTTTGGTGGCAGAATCAAAATGAAAACTTAAATTCCTAAGGTCTCCTTAAGAAACTGCTAGATCTACATAGGGCTGCTGTCTAAAGAAAACGAGCATCATTTATTGATAACTTCTTAATATTTCTGTCTAGATCACAGCAAGATGATTTTTGGAAAATGGTTGTTCTTCTATTTACCCATATAAATTTGTGCATATTAAGAAGTACTCACATTTCATTGCTTGACTTTATTTTAGCTTTTTATGAGAAACACTGAGTACATTTCCCACTTGTCTTTCCTCATCAAAAATGCCTTCATTTCCCTGCCATGTAACTAGTGAATCACAGACAAGTTTTACCGAGAAAACTGCAAGCACTGGAATCTTGTCACTGCATTCTGGAGAGTTGTTTTATCATTGTATTTTCTTCTCTACAAGTTTATTTAAATACAGTTTTTCATAAAGCTTAAGTTATCAGGATATAGATGTAGTGTTCACTGAATTACTTGCCTTTTAAATTACACATGTCTTTATAGGTTGCTTTTTTATTATAAAACATCTGCTTTAAGGAAGAAATAAGAATTTTCTGTAGCCATGCTATAATAACTATTAAGAGACAAATAACTGGTGTGATTAAGTGATTAAAAAAAGTTTTGTGACTATGAAATAATAGAATCAGAGCAGCACATTAGTAACACCTTTGAGAGCTAAGTACCAGTAGCTCATATCTGTAATCCTAGACTCAGGAAGCTGAGATCAGGGGGTTGAAATTTAGACTCCAAAACCCTGAGTTTGTCTATTAGATCTAACATTTACTAGTCTTGTGATGGCAGAAAAATTATATTCTCTGTCAGTATTGTTATACAATGAGATACTCTCAAATTTTTGGGGTTGTAATAAAGTCTTTCCTAAAATGTGTTTGGTCAGCTGATTTCCAGATTCTTTCTAAGGAGTCTATTTTATAGAGATATCATTTTTTCCTTTCTGGAAGGCAGCTGTCTTCTGTCCACCCAAGTAGCTATGTGTGCTCTCTGTCCACAGAGCAGCCGTGCTGCTCATCCACCAATGTGACAGACAGGCATGGGGCTGAGCTGGTATTCGCCAAGAGTTTCTCTGCATCTGGCCAGTCAGGGCCGGTGGCCCATCAGTGCAGCTGCTGGCACTTGCCTTTTCCCACTGCTTTAATGCTTATGAGTCTGCTCCCCACTGGAATGGAAGCACTAGAAGGGTAAGGAATGCTGTTAGTTTCCCTCACGGCTGTCTCTGGGTACCTAGAATAGTACATTACTCTCAGTGGGCATCTGATCAACTCATCCATCTCTAGTCTTCAAAAGGATGGGCAACTTGGTAAGAAATGTACGCATTATCCTGCCCATGTAATTGTAACCCCTCTGTACAGTATGTTCACAAATAAAATAAAATAAAATTTTTTAAAAAAAAGGATGGGCAAGTAGAGCAGGCCACAGTAAAACTTTTTTTAAAAAAATAAAACCCCAAAAATTATCTTTTAAAAAATAGATTCTGTCTTCTATGAAATCTGTGGTTTTGGACTAGGGATGTAGCTCACTTACGTGTAGAACACTTATGTGGTCCTTAGTTCCATCCTTGGCACTTCTTCTCACCCCCAAAATCTCACTGCAATGAGACTAGCTTTTTTTTTTTTTTTTGTCCCGTAGCTGGCAAACTACTGCTGGTTCATTTCAAGTTTTAGAAGAATAAAAACTCAGCATATCTCAGAAATCTCAGCATATCTTGTGATGATAAATGATGAACAATGTTCCAAAGAGAAGAGAAAACCAAAAACAGTTAAATTATGTGGCATAGAAAGACAATGTCATGATGTAGTACTGGATTGTGTAATTTAACTGTTCTATAGCAAAACAGGCAGTAACCCATGGGGAGCAGGAACCTGCAAGGGTGAGTCAAGGACAGAAGTTAAGTTTTGCTTTCTAGGAAATACATGTTCCCAGAAATCTTGTATTCTAGCCAGAGCTGTGGAAGCTTAAATATAAAAATCTGCATACATGTCGTAGAAATAAGATAGAGTTTAAAAAAAGTAGAAGAGCCAGGTGTCGGTGGCTCATGCCTAAAATACTAGCTACTCAGGAGGCTGAGATCTGAGAATCACAGTTCAAAGCCAGCCCGGGCAGGAAAGTCCATGACTCTTATCTCCAATAAATCACTAGAAAACCGGAAGTGGCGCTGTGGCTCAAGTGGTAGAGCACTTGCCTTGAGCTGAAGAGCGCAGGGACAGCGCCCAAGCCCACAGTTCAAGCCCCATGACCGACAAAAAAAAAATAAAAGGAGTGGAAGAGACTGGAGTCAAAGGTAACCACAGGTCACACTTAAAGGTGCCTAAGTTCTGAGACTTAACACTTTCTAAGATGCAAGTAAGGTAGTAAAAGCCATCAGTTGTTTCTTGGAGTGTTTTGTTGAGTCATTGTTCTCTGAATATTCTCTGAATTCTCTGAAACTTTAGTCCTGAATTGCAAGCATTTGTACAGCATTTTGACACTGATGTATTTTCTTACCAGAACTTCAATATGAGTAAATAAATTTTTAATTGGGCTTTCAAAACTTTGGTTAAGATTTTCTCTTGAGCTGGGCACCAGTGGTTTATGCCTGTAATCCCAGCTACTCAGAAGGCTGAGATTTGGAGGATTGAGGTTCTCATAGCCAACCAAGGCAGAAAAGTCTGGCCGACTCCCATTTCCACTTACGGAGCAAAAGGCCAGGCTGGAATGGTAGAACACCAGCTGCAACCGAAAAAGCTGAGTAAAACTGAGCAAGAACATGAAGACTTGAGTTTAAGCCCTAGTACTGGGGGAGATGTTAGTACATAAGAATATAGGCATAGGCCAGGCACTCTTAACTCATTTCTGTAATCCTAGCTATTCAGGAGGCTGGGCTCTGAGGTTCATGGTTAGAAGCCAGCCTGGATAGACAAATAGATTTTTATCTCCGTTAACTGGCAAAAAGCCAAAAGGGGCAGTGTGACTCCATTGGTAGAGTGCCACTTCTGAGTGGAAAAAGCTGAAGAACCGTATGAGGCCCTGAATTCAAGCCCTAGTAGTGGCGCGTGCGCGCGTGCACACACGCACACACGCACACACGCACACACACACACACACACACACACACAGATTCCAAAGAATGAATACATGCATGAGCAACAAGTTTACGACTATTTAGCATATATAGCATATATATACTTTTCAAGACCAAGGTAGGGAATTTGTTCAAAATATTTTAACTTGTTCACTAATGTCCAAAACTCCTCTAATAGTAATGAGAGAGGATAATCTAAAACTGTTTAAATGAAGTCCATGTTTCAAGTTAAATGACTTGATTTGTAGCATACTTCAAAATGCCCATTGCAATTCTTAAAGACATGGTCATTCTTAGTTAGAAGTCACTTTCCTTCAAGGCATAGTCTGTTAAAAAAAAATAATTCCAGAAACCTTTTCTGCATTACATAAATCAGGGTATTTATTTTTGTTGTTTGTTACAAGGTCTTGTTATGTCTATGGCCTATTCTACACTCAATTTTCTATTCTCTTCCAACCTCAGCCTCCCAAGTGCTGGCCTAAACCACCCACCCAGCTTCATAAAATGTTCTTAATATCTTATCGCAGACAGCATAAAATGATATGACCTAAAGAGCAAGTAACATGTGATAAACGGCCAAGAAATTCAAAGTTAATATTTAAGCTTGCTACTTAACTGGATCTAATATCAACAATGCAAAGGTTTCATGTTTTTCTGTAACAACACTTACAAAGTCAAAGATTAACATTTTTATGTAACATTTGAAGACTTCCTAGGGCTCTGGGCATATGCTTAGCATGTTGGAGGTCTGAATTAGATAACCAGTACCAAAAAGAAAAGACTTCTGATTTGGGGCATTTGCATTTTGTAGTGTATTTTTCTGATTATCAAAATAGACAAATATGTGAGCATTGAAATATGATGTTTCATACTATTAAGTATTTAAAAGTAGACCAACGGGTATTAACATTAAGCCAGGCCCTTGTGTTAAAAGTAGCTCTCAATGATATCAATTCTATACAGAGTTTCAGGTATTCCATATAAATTTCCTTATATGTAACTAATAATACCTAAGTTGATTAAGATCCAGAATACAATCTAAACATTGTTTGCATTCTAATGAGTGCGTAATGGAAATGGTATGTTCTCATCAGATCTACAGAAGGTCTGTGTTCTTCGAGCACTATTAAATTAATTGTGGGCAGTCTTTCAAGAATTTCCATGTTTTTAATCCTGAAGTGGATCTTGGATTTAGTTTTACTATGGTGTTTGTCATGACATGACATTACTCAGGAGTTTCACTGCTACCTCATTGTAATGGATGAGCTAAAATGACCTCTGACACTGGGTGCCTTGGGCACCCAGGTTCCATAGGTCACAACTCAGCAAATTGTAAATTGACTTATGTTGAAAGATTGGAACACCACATAAGATCTTTCTTTCCTAGGAGAAATAAGACAGTCTTTTTAAGTGAAAAAGCCAGCAGAATATCTGGGTGTCATTATTTATAACTGTAATCCCAACACTGAGGAGC